CCCTAAAACCCCAACAAACCCTACGAAACCCGAAAAAAAACCTTAAAAACCCTAAAAAACCTACGAAGCCCCAAAAAAACCCTAAAAACACTAAAAAACCCTAAAAAGCCTAAAAATCATAAAAACCCCTAAAACCCCTCAATAAAGCTTAAAAAAATACCAAGAACCCTAAAAAACACATTAAAGAAACCTTAAAAAATGCTAAACAATCCTAAATAAGACTTAAAAAATCCTAAAAATCCTAAAAAACTCTAATTAACACAAAAAAACCCTAAAAACCCTAATAAAAAACCCTAAAAAAGGCTAAAAACCCCTACAAAAACCCTAAAAAAAACCCTTAAAAATCCCTAAAAACCCTTAAAAACCAAAAATAAACCCTAAATAAACCCTAAAAATCTTTAAAAGGCTAATAAACCTTAAAACCCTAACTAAATCCTAAAAGAACCCTAAAAACCCTTTAAAATCCCGAGATAAACCCTTAAAAACTCCTTAAAAACCTAAAAAGGCTAAAAAAAACCCTAAATAAACCCGAACAAACCCTAAAAAATCCTAAAAAACACTAAAAACCCTAAAAAGCTCTAAAAAGCCCTAAAAACCATAAAAAACCCAAAACAAAGCCTAAAAAACCCTAAAACCCCTTAAAAACTCTCAAAATGCTAAAAACCCTAAAAACCCTGAATAAAACCTAAAAAACTCTAAATAAACCATAAAAACCCTAAAAAAACCCTAAAACCCCAAGAAAACCATAAAAAACCCTAAAAATTCCTAAAAATAAAAAAACCCAAAAAATCCAAAACACCCCTTAAAACCCCTAAAACCCTCAAAAACCTTAAAATGCTAAATAAACGATAAATAAATCCTAAAAACCCTAAAAAGCCCTAAAAACCTTATGAAACAAGAAAAAACCCCTAAAAACCCTAAAAAAAACCTTAAAAACCCTAAAGAAACCCTAAAAAACACTAAAAACACCCTAAAACCCCCTAAAACTCTAAATAAACCCTAAATAAACCTTAAAAACACTAAAAACCTAAAACCGCTAAAAAGCGCTAAAAACCCTAAGAAAACCCTAAATAAACCCTAAAAATCCCTAAAACACCCTAAAACCCTAAAAGACCCTAAAATCCTAAAAAAATCCTAAAAACCCTCTAAAACCCCCCAAAAAATAGTAAATAAACCCTAAAAAAACCTAAAACCCCAAAAACACCCCAAGAAAGACCCTGAAAAACCCTAAAAAATCCTTAAAAACCCTAAAAACACTAAAAATGTCCTACAAAACCCCTTAAAACACGAAAAAAAAATACTAAACCCTAAATAAACCTTAAAAAATAATAAAACCCCAAAAAAAACATTAAAGAAACCCTAAAAAATGCTAAAAACCCTAAATAAACCCTAAAATACATTAAAACCGTAAAAAACCTAAATACACCCTAAAAAAACCCAAAAAACAAAGAAAAAACCCTAATAAAGCTCTTATTAATACGAAAAAACACTAAAAACCCTAAATAAACCCTTAAAAACCTGTAATAAACCCTAAAAACCCCTAAAAGGGCTAAAAACCCTTAAAACCCTAACTAAACCCTAAAACAACCCTAAAACCCCTTTAAAAGCCCGAAATAAACCCTAAATAAATCCTAAAAACTCCTAAAAATCCTAAAAAGGCTAAAAACACTAAAAACCCCTAAATAAACCCTAAAAAACCCTAAAAACCCTAAAACCCTAAAAAACACTAAAACCCCTAAAAAACTCTAAAAACAACTAAAAACCACAAAAAACCAAAAATAAACCCTAAAAAACCCTGAAACCCCTTTAAAACCCCTCAGAATAAAAACCCTGAATAAACCCTAAAAAACTCTAAATAAACAATAAAAACCCTAAAAAAATCCTAAAAACACCAAGAAAATCATAAAAAACCATAAAAGCCCAAAAAACCCTAAAAATTCCTAAAAATAAAAAAAAAACCCAAAAACCCCTTAAAAACCCCTAAAACCCTAACTTAAAAAACCTAAATAAGCGATAAATAAATCCTAAAAACCCCTAAAACCCCTATGAAACAGGAAAAAAAAACCCTAAAACCCCTAAAAAACCTTAAAACCCTAAAGAAACCCTAAAAAACACTAAAAACACCCTAAAACCCCCTAAAAATATAAATAAACCCTAAACAAACCTTAAAAACACTAAAAAACCTAAAAACCCCTAAAACCCCTAAAAAGCACAAAAAACCCTAAGAAAAACCCTAAATAAACCCTAAAAACCCCTAAAACACCCTAAAACCCTAAAAAACCCTAAAAGACCCTAAAATCCTTAAAAACCCTAAAAACTCCTAAAAAACCTTAAAATGCTAAAAAACCCTAAAAACCCTAAATAAACCCTAAAAACCCTAAAACCCTAAAAAACACTGAAAAACCTTTAAAAACTCTAAAACCCCTGAAAACCACAAAAAACCAAAATAAACCCTAAAAACCCCTAAAACCCCTTAAAACCCCTCAAAACCCTAAAAACGCTGAATAAACCCTAAAAAACTCAGAATAAACCATAAAAACTCTAAAAAAACCCTAAAAAGCCTAAAAAGCTCTAAAAACCCCTAAAAACCACAAAAAAGCCCAAAATAAACCCTAAAATCCTTAAAAACCCTCAAAACGCTAAAAACCCTAAAAAAAACCAATAAACCCTAAAAAACTCTAAATAAACCATAAAAACCCTAAAAAATCATAAAACACATAAAAATCCTAAAACCCCCAAGAAAACCATAAAAAACCCTAAAAAGCCGAAAAAACCCCTTAAAACCCATAAAAACCCCTAAAACCCCAAAAAACCCTCAAAACCCTTAAAAACCTAAATAACCAATAAATAAATCCTAAAAAACCCTATGAACCAGGAAAAAAACCCTAAAAAACCTTTAAAAGCCTAAATAAACCCTAAAAAACACTAAAAACACCCTAAAACCCTAAAAACCCCTAAAAATCTAAATAAACACTAAATAAACCTTAAAAACACTAAAAAACCTAAAAACCCCTAAAAAGCACAAAAAACCCTAAGAAAACCCTAAATAAACCCTAAAACACCCTAAAACCCTAAAAAAAAAACCCTAAAAGAGCCTAAAATCCTAAAAAAAACCCTAAAAACCCTAAAACCTCAAAAAAAATCCTAAATAAACCCTAAAAACCTAGAACCACAAAACCCCATAAAAACCCTGAAAACCCTAAAAACCCAAAAAAAAAATCCTAAAACTCCCTAAAAACACTAAAAAGTCCTAAAAACCCTAAAACCCCCTTAAAACACAAACCACAAAACCCCATAAAAACCCTGAAAACCCTAAAAACCCAAAAAAAAATCCTAAAACTCCCTAAAAACACTAAAAAGTCCTAAAAACCCTAAAACCCCCTTAAAACACAAAAAAAAACCCCTAAAACCCTAAATAAACCTTAAAAAATTTTAAAAACCCTAAAAACACATTAAAGAAACCCTAAAAAAGCTCTAATTAACATGAAAAAAAATCCTAAAAATCCTAAATAGACCAAAAAACCCTAAAAAAGGCTAAAAAAAACCCTACAAAAACCCTAAAAAACCCCTAAATAAACCCTAAAGAAATCCTAAAAACCCTTAAAAACCCTAAATAAACCCTAAATAAACCCTAAAAACCCCTAAAAACCCCTAAAAACCCTAAAAGGCTAAAAAACCTTAAAACCCTAACTAAACCCTAAAACTACCCTAAAAACCCTTTAAAAGTCCGAAATAAACCCTAAATAAACCTTAAAAACGCTAAAAACTCCTAAAAAACCTAAAAAGGCTAAAAACACAAAAAACCCCAAATGAAATTTATTATAGTGTGAATTGTTTAGTCATTGTATACCAGTTGTAGAAAGAGAAAATGAAGTAGATTGTAATTTCATGATTATAATTGTGACCATTTAATTCTGTTTACATACGCTAAAAAAGAAGTCGCTTAACCATTTGTTAGTGGCTAAATAGAATTATTGGAATTTGATCAGTCCTGCTAGTAAATCAAGTAAGAAAACTATGTTGTGACTGAAAAATTGTGATAGAAAAAAAAAGGATGCATTTCATGTTGCTATTTTGAATATGACTTTCCAAGATCACAACCATTTGAAGTAGGTCAAGTAGAATACAAATCGCGAGAGTAAAACAAACTGAAGCGAGTCGTCAAGTAGTTGCAAGTGAATGCCACAAAGAGGAAGCTCAAACAAGCCAGACAAGTGAATGCCATATAATTTTCTTCCATATATGTCTTTTGTGTAAGGTTTTATTTGGTCAAAAAAGTAAGATGAATTATTCAGAACACCAAGTGTACCATGTCATATTGCTCATGTGGTACACTTGTCTAATTAGATTGTATCATTTAGACATTTTATTTATGTCAATTTTTTATTTTTATTTTTTTTAATATGTATTTGCATTGAATACCTATTAGGAAAAAAAAATAAAAGTGAAAAGCTAATATAGACAAAATGTCCAAATGGTACAATTTCATTAACGGGTGTCTAAATAGTATAATCTCATTGAACGGGTATATCATATAAGTAATATGACGCGGTATACTTGATATACTAAATAATTCCTCAAAAAGTAGAGAGAAAGTGTCTCATTTTGAAAAAAAATAGAAAAAAATGAGAAGAAAAATAAATAAAGAGTAACAGATTTTAAGTAGATAGAGTTTGCGACCCTCATATGTAATTGTATTAATTTTTGCTTCACTTATACAAAAGTATGTTTTTCTTCCAACAAATTTGAAATTAAATTCTTCCTTAAAAAAAAAATCGATCAAGCTATTTTACTCAATGAGAAAAATGGTTGTTTTTAATTACTACATTAATTTTTAACAATTAAATTTATATATATTCACATTAAAAATTTACCGCACATAAAATAAAACTGCGTATACTATGTTGTTAAAAAAACTAATTCAATAAAAAATACACAAAAAAAAGCCTATAATTAACTCACAACCCTCCTAAATCCCAAACAAATTGAAACCACGACCACCACCAGCTCACTGACCAACCTCACTTGACTCTCTCTCAAAAAAAAAAAAAAATTTCGCTGAATAGGCTCTCTCTCAAATTGCAAGTCTATATATACATTTTCCAAAAAGATTTCTCTTCATTTGTCACTTGTCAGAGAAAATATGGGAAAACTGATATAAATCTGAAAGAAACCACTCACTGTCCCTCTCTGGCTCTGCACTCTGTTTTCACTGCGTATGGGTTGGTTTTGGCGTGAACCCATCACAGCTACCACCGTCCCAACAGTTCAACAATCTCTTCGGTGCTAACTTAGCTTAGCTTGCGAGCCTTTTCTGCCATGGCTGCGGCCCTGGAGTGCTGGTCGAGCCGAGCCAGTACGGACGAGGACATGGTGGAGCAGGTCCTGATGAGGACTCACGACAGATCGGAGGGCTCGGCAGCGGAAAGCTCTTCCTCCTCCACCGCCGCTTCCGCCGCCGCCGGAACGATGAAGGACTCGTCGGCGATGCAGAAGAGGCTCCAGAGGCTGAGCCGGAACGTGTCAGAGGCCATAGCCTCGCTCCGGAACTCGCTGAATCTGGACTCCTCCACCGCCAACGCTAGGGACGAAACGGCGTCGTCGAACAAGATCGAGAGCTGCCGGAAGGTCGTCTGGTGCAGCGTCGTCCGTAACCTTACCCAGCTCTACCCCGGCAGCCAGCTCCCCGAGAAGCTCGTCTCCAACATTCGCAAGCATTACGATTCCTTACCTCTCAGGTTCGTAAATTTCGACGAATTTAATGTTTTTTTCTTTCTCGGAAATGTTCAGATTTTGAAATTTTGGAAATGTTTTTCAGTTATGCCCAGGCAGGGTTTGATATGAAAGAGGTGTTTCTGCATATTAAGATGTTAGAGCAAGCGTCCTTGGATGATTACCCGGCCATTTTGAGCCAAGAAGTGTCTGATGATGAAATTCACGGTTCGGTTTTCAAGCTCACGTTTGCTTGCAACTCTTCGATTTCGTGGCCGGTGATGTCCGGTGCGCTTGACAGTGCCTCCATTTGCTGCAAGAAAATACAGATCTTTGAGAGGAAAGGGTCCACTCTTGGGGTGGTTCTTCTTCTGGTCCAAGCCGGCCATGAGAAAACGTTCAAGGCCCGGATCGAAAACGCCTTGAAATCGGCCACCGTGAGGAAGCCAAAACCCGCCACGATGAAGTTTGCCTTCGGGCTCTGCGGGTGCCAAGAGGAGAACACGAGGGGTAGAGAGATGGGAGAGATTGAGGAGGAAGTTATTGGAGAAGCGAATGTTAGAAATGGAGTGGAAAATTTGGGGCAAAAAGTTGAGCTTCAGATGCCACTGCCCACTTCATCGTTTGTGGCTTCTGTTGATGAATGGCAGACCATTCAATCCAGTGATGAAATTGGGAAATGGCTGTTGAACTCTGATTATCTTGAATTTGTTGACCAGGTTGGACCAAACTCGTTTAAGGGAGTTTACAAGGGGAAAAAGGTTGGGATTGAGAAGCTCAAAGGTTGTGAGAAAGGGAATTCCTATGACTTTGAGCTGCGCAAGGATCTCTTGGAGCTCATGACTTGTGGGCACAAGAACATCTTGCAATTCCATGGCGTTTGTGTTGATGAGAATCATGGGTTGTGTGTGGTGACAAAGTTGATGGAAGGCGGGTCGGTTTTCGATTTGATGCTCAAAAGCAAGAAGAATATTCAGACTAAGGAAATTATAAGAATTGCCACTGATGTAGCAGAAGGGATCAAGTTCATGAATGACCATGGAGTTGCTTATAGAGATCTCAACACACAGAGGATCTTGTTGGATCGCCATGGAAATGCTTGCTTAGGTGACATGGGAATAGTGGCTGTATGCAAGAGTGTTGGGGAGGCAATGGAGTACGAGACTGATGGCTACCGCTGGCTTGCTCCTGAGGTTTGTTCACTGTATATCTTGATTCAACTCTTTACTTTTTACTTGATTCATATCTTTACTATTTACTTTAGTCGGAAAATTAGAAAAATAGCAATTGATAACTCATGTTCTTGTCATGTTATTAGTAAACTATAACTCCCTTAGAGCAGTTTTGCTTTTTGCATAAAGATCTAAAGAGATCTATTCTGTTTTTGCTGAAAAGGGGTTATAAGTTGTTCTTTTGTTTGTCTTTAGAAAGCTCGGGAACCAAAATGTCTTTACTCTTTGCCCATTACCACTATCTTTTTTTAATCCTTGTGCGTTCAAAGAATTGATTGATATGACCAATTGTGCAGAGAATATAGGCAACAATGGTGACTAAATCTAGTATATATAATGTTAGTTTAGAGTAGAAAGTGACTTCATTTGTAACCTATACTTGCCTCTCGATGCATGAATACTTAGGAAATGCTTCTCTTTATAGGATTTACCTGTATGAGTCATACCAGCATCCGAGACATTAGGAAAAGTTCTTCTTGGTTTTATTATGTACTCTAGGATGTTATCTGGGTTCATTGAATGCGACTAAAGTTCTCAGCATCAGCCAATTCTCGCTGAAAAAAAGGGACTTTATGTCACTTACCCGACATAATTGTTTGAGCATGCATAACGTATCTTCATAATTGTTAATTCTTTTACGTTTCAATACTATAGTGTTTACCTTTATTTAAGCACTCTTATGTCTTCCACTAAACAAGTCAGTTTAATTATGGTAATGCTACTTTCAGCAAATTAGGTGCCGACCTGTGGAGCCCACATAGTGGAGCTTTTGAGTTTTTAGCGCATATTTGTCCGTGGGATATACCTTTCCCAGACCACTATATATATACTGTTTTTGTTTTGCTTGGGTCCTTGGGATATAATTAGGTAATAAAAAGGAATTTCTGCATGTGTAAGTTTTATGTCTACTGAACAAATGACAAGTTCTTCCCAAACTTCTTTAGCCAAAATGATAACAATATTATGGTTTATTGGATATCTTTTGGATCAAAATATTTATATTGGTTAGTCCAAGTATCTCAAACTGGTCTGTTGATGTTCTTTGCTTACCTTGAAAGTCACGTTACAATTTCCTTCTCCCTCCAAAAAAAAAAATAAATAAATAAACGTTACAACTTTAGAAACGAATAATCCTCTTTCTTGACCCCTCTTTAACCTCGTGTAATTTTCACTTGAATATTTGCTCTCTTATATATGTTTGAGCAAGTCCAATAATGAACTTGTTAAGTCTACAAAAGAACGGTTTAATTCAAAATTCAATAGCTGTTAGATGAAGCTGTATCTTTTTTCCCCCCATTTTTATGCTCTGAGTTAAAGAATGTTAATTGTAATAAACGTGGCACTTATTGTCTTTCCTTCCCTTGTTGGTGAGTACAGATAATTGCTGGTGATCCAGAGTGTGTGACAGAGACTTGGATGAGTAATGTATATAGTTTTGGGATGGTTCTCTGGGAGATGGTGACCGGTGAGGCAGCCTATTCCGCTTTTTCGCCGGTGCAGGCAGCGGTGGGAATAGCTGCTTGCGGCCTTAGGCCTGAGATTCCAAAGGACTGTCCTCAAATGCTGAGATCTTTGATGACAAAATGCTGGAACAATTGCCCATCAAAGCGTCCTCAGTTCTCTGAGATTCTATCGGTATTGCTGCGACCAAACAATAACAGCAATAATTGCAGATAAAAATCCCTTATAAAAGCCTGTTTGGAATCCAATATGCTATATTGTTGATCATGATGCAAAAATGGCCCCTCCTAAAGTATAGGAGTTGCTATATATGTATACGAATGCATAAATATTGATGTGCAAAGCTTTTGTGTTGCTGAAATGAAGATATAAATCTTCTTTCACCTTTCTGTCTCTCTCCAATTCTATGAAAGGAAAAAGGGCTTTAAAGAAATCTCTCTCTCTCTCTCTCTCTCTCTCTCTCTCTCACTCACTCACTCACACACACACACACACACACTGACAAACACACACACACATTATAAGAATGTCTTGAGCATGCGCGCTAAAATTCATTGCGTGATGATATGAAAATCTTAATTTATATAAGTTTTTTCTTCTTTGTTTTTGGTGTTGTGATGCATTAGTGAGTAGGCATTACGCGTCACTTGAAAAAGACGAGAATTATTACATATTATGATATGAATACCAATTGTCTAAAGATGGTTGACGCTAGGGGAAAAAGAAAAGGTTATAATATTGGTAATGATTAAAAACTAGGGAAAAAGAGAAAAAGGAAAATGAAAAAATTGATCACCACGAAAGTGACGTGCGAAATTTTCATGGTTCAGCCAACTTTTGCCAACATATTACGGAGAAATCAGCGCTGTGTTTGTTTTTGGGTTTTTTTGTTTTGTCTTTTTTCCCCCCTCTTTTTTCCCTTTATTTTCTGATCAAAAGAGTAACAATATATAGAGTGTTTAAGCCTAAAATCTTTCCCCCCCCCCCCCCCCCCCCCCCCAAAATAATAATAATAATAATATAAAGTAGAGACTTTGTGGAATAGCAAAACTTCTTCCACGGTTCCACCAAGTGAAAGAAGGGGGAAAATTGCTCACTTGTATATATTTTATTTATTGCTATATAGGTATAACTCATATAAGGGGCTATAAGTAGAATGCGACCCATGATCCAACAAACACTAACAAAAAAGCAGGAGAAAAGGAGATTGCGTCTCTGGTGGGCTTAGAATTCAGGAGAACGATGACATACCGGGTGCGTTTAGAATTGATTCCAAAACGTTTTTATTTTCTGTACGAAAATGAAAATGAAAACGTTTTTAGTTTTATTTTTGAATTATTTCTAAAAATGCGTTTGGTAGTTTTATTTAGAGATTGATTTCAGTTTTAAAAAAAACTGAAACTGCGTTTGGTGGTTTAATTTTTGAAAACATGTAATAATATATTAAATAAATAATATTATTAAATATATTAAATAAATAATAT